ACCAGGATGGGTGCGTGAAGACTGGGTGATTTACCCTTTCTGATTTACCCTTTCAATGACAACAAAGCAAAGGTGGTTCAGTATATTTATTGCGGAGGGAAAGCGAGATATAAGCGAGAGCGGCTTGCCCGTTCACGCTGAGCAAGAGCAAGTATTACAAGTGAATGGTACAAGTAACTGTCGACCCAGCACAAGCCTAATCCCACTGCGCCCCGCCCCACTTGATAGCGGGGGGCAAGGCGCTTACGTAATAGTACGGGGTCGTCGACGACGACATATCCCGAAATGCTACAAGTAAATATCAGCTGCAGACGAGCAATGCGGCGAGACCCTCTATTATACAGGGAGACTAGTGGAGGCGGACTAGATAGAACTAGTCTGCAAAAAGGCTCTCGGGAGTTTCAGGACCACAGTATTCCACTTACTTGTTTGAAGAAGGAGGGCGAAACACTTACAACATCGAGATTTGGAATGGAGGAAATCACACAGAGGTTTTACACCAACCTATACCGACAACGCCACACGTGCAAAACGGAAAACGTCCATCCTTCACAAGAAGGGAGGCCGGGATGACCTTCGTAACTCCAGCAGCTTGTTAAGTGTGCTTTACGAACTGTTCACGAAGATAATTTCAACCCGCATGTCGCGAACGGTGGGAGAAAATCAGCCTGTAATGCAGGCCGGATTGCGGAAGGAATTTAGCTGCTTAGACCACATTTAAGCGGTCGCAATGGTCGTAGAAGTAAGCCGAAAACTGCGAATACCTCTTGTCCCTACCTTTGTCACTGAAACTGTGACTATGAAAAAGCTTTCAACAGAATTTAACTGAATGTGATCCTGTCAGCACTGCCCGATCAAGGGAAGTACCCTTCTTATATAAGAACACTAGCTGACTGAACTAGTTGCTACATCGCGACGTGAAACTGTTCCATCCTCTCGACCTCTCGCCACTTCAATAGGTAAAAGTGTGAGACAAGTCGGCGCTATCGCGCCGAAGCTGTTCACAGCCGCACTGCAATGGGTTATGAAGTCGCAAGACGGGGTCGAAGGGGGGAAGGGGGTAGAATCCTTTTGAATCTCCGAGTCGCGGACGTCACCGTTCTTTTTCCATACAACGTTGCGGAAACTGAGACTTCGCTCGCTGAACTTAATGAAGCAGCAGGAAGGTGGGGCTGCGGATCGACTGAAGAAAAGACACAATTCATGGAGAATGCTTGTTCTGACAAAGGTCGAATGATTGATGGACACCTATGAACCCTCGCCTCTCGGACGTTCCATCAATATAGACAACGACATGAAGGAAAAACCGGTGAGAAGGGAGAAATCAGACTGATCAGCCTTCGGACTCCTGAAAGAAGTCGTCAGCCATCTCGCTGATCAAGAACTTCGCACCAATCTGCTCAATTCCACAGTGCTCCCTGCGCTCTGCTACGCCTCGGAGACTTGAGTGACTAGTGCATCAACGTCAAGGACTCTGAGCATCCTACTTACTATTATATAAAGCGCTTAGTCTG